TCCAAGTCGCTGTAGAGCTAATGTTTTGTAGGACCTCCTAGCCAATGTAGAGTTGATGTCTTTTAAGAACTCCTTGTTTCTCCATAGCCCATGTGTTGCTTGATTCAAATAACAAAGTGCGATAAAAAAATATCAGTTTTATTGATTTACTGTTTCATATGCATTACAGTACAAAATGAATAAGAAACAATTACTGTTGTTAAGATAAAATAGACGTGTCAAAAAAAAAACTTCACATCCTATCACACAAATATATATATATATACAGAACCGTCTGCAAAATATAATAATTCATTTTTCAAAAATATAAAATTACTCTTATCTCATTAACTATATACTAGAATAAATCAACCGATGTTATCGGGATAATAATTGTGGGCCATTTGCGATAATTATAACTGCTATTGCAAAAACTAATTCCAATTCATAACTCTTAAAATGTATTGACATTTAAGTTTCTAACATCATTAAGTTTTGAGAAGTGTTTATCTGCTATATATGATTGGCGTACCCTACACCATTTCACGCTTCTAAATTAATTTTCCCCCTCTAAACATGACCTTAAATTACCCAGTCTAAATTATCACTAATTATATAACTTTTGTCACTAAAGAAGTTAATTGAAGTACAATTACTACGCTAGAGAAATATTTTAGATCAACCCCTTTTCGCACTCTTGAATTACAACTTTTTTCTCACAAAATAAAAAAAAAAAAACTAATCTTAATTCTACAACAAAAACTCTATATATGATATAAATATATTTTGTATTACAGGAATTTGATATATATTGATACCATCATCAAAAAATTTCAACATATTTTTATTCTTTTTTTTTTTTAAATTATACAATATCAGGAAATATTAAAACAAAGAATTCTTTAATCTAAGTAGAATCTCGCAACTGTTTTTCACGCCTATATCAGATTTGACTGTCTTTTAACAAAATTAAATGGTTAATCTCATAAAAATACACACGTCTTTACTTTTTTGCAAAGTAACAACCAAAATATATTTCATTTTTAAAAAAAGAAAGTATTAACGCATCTTTATTTATCAAAATTTAATTTTCAAGTGTGTAAAATGATTGGGTTTTTCATATTCATGGATATACTTATATAAATGTACCCACGATTTGTTAACGCCATTGATTTTCTTAATTGATAAACATATTATGCTTATTTGTAAAAAGAGAATTAACTCTCTTTTTTCACTAATGTAATACCATATGATTGAAATAAATTGTCATCCACGTAAAAATGTACACATAACTTTTCCTATCTCCCGATATGTGTGTACCCAAGAAGGTTAATAATTTATCAAATTAATTCCTTTATTTTGGAACGTATGCACTGAACGTATTGCCTTAGGTAAAATGAACATACCAATATTTGTTTAAAAAAAGGGAATGCAACATCTCATTTTTTTAACAAACGTAATACCATCGGACTTAAATTAACTCTGTTGCCATCCACGTAAGAATTTACACATCTTATTTCCTATCTCCGACATGTATTTACTCAAGAAAATTATTATTTATCAAATTCATTCCTTTATTTTGAGACGTATCTTGTGTTGCCTTGAGCAAAAGGAACATAAACATATTTGAAAAAGATAAAATGTCATAAGTTGCCCAATGGACGCTGTAGTGACGCAGGTCCGCAGACCGAAAAGTTTGAGGCCCCCTGCACGAGATAGATTAGAGAAGTCACCACGTGATTATGTAAGCTATTTCAAATTAAGTGTCCAAGTATTATTACATAATTAACACTTTTCACCTGCATTTTCATTTGACCCTATCCCCTTTCTCTCTCCCTCCCCCCCCCCCCCCCATAGTTACAGCACTTATTTAAATTGAAACATTGCCATATCTTTAATATTAAAAATGCTTTTAAAACATATTTACATTCTACGATAGTTACGACGGGTAACGCATGGTATCATTAACAATTTTACAAATCATAGGTGACAAAAAGTAAACATAGCTTTGGAGCATCCGATGTAAAACGTGAGCCAAATAAAATAACAAAGACATTGCCAACGCATGTGCTTGTATCAAGGACGCCGAGATACGTGCAACACAAAAACAAAAATACCCCCGTGAGTCAAGGGTTATTGAGAGCTGTTCAGGCCGAGACAAGTGTCCTCTTATCAACTATTGTTAGTGATTGTGGACATGACTCACGGTTTCAGGAAGTTGATTAGCGCCTACTGGGAAAACACATTTTTCTTCCTAAACAATGTTTAAAATGTGAATTGTCGTAAAGGAACATTGTGTGGGTTGTTTATCAAATTATAATTAAAATTATTTCTACTTTATATGTGTAATCCAAATGTTTATTGTTTTTAAAGTCAATAAAACAGAACATCCAATATCCATACCTTTTCTAGTCGCAAACACCGTTAATTAATAAATAGCTAAATGACCCACCACCAAACTTTCCTTCTTTTTTTTTGTGAAATATTAAAACCTGGAAACGATAAAAAAAAGAAAAAAAAAAAAGATAGGTCATTAGGAGAATCCAATTTTTATTGGAATGCGTGATTGTTCTAGAGCAGTGGTTCTCAACCTTCCTAATGCCGCGACCCTTTAATACAGTTTTTGGTGTCGCGGCGACCCCCAGCCACACAATTATTTTCGTTGCTACTTCATAACTGTAAGGATATGTGTTTTCAGGTGGTCTTAGGTGACCCCTGGGAAAGGGTCGCGCGACCCCCATAGGGGTCACGACACACAGGTTGAGAACCGCTGTCCTAGAGAGACAAGATTGTTTTTTTCCATTTTTGAAATATCTAATGAAATCGTTCTTCCACATCTTTTTCAAACACGGGCACTATTTACATTCACTCACGTATAAGTAAAAACATTGCTCAACTTTGACTACACTTTATTTCGTGGTGAGAGAGAGAGAGCCCATATCTAACAACAACGGCCAAAATTGTAGTAATTTTAATCTCTATGACGGTCACGTGGTAGCTAGAGCTGTTCACAGCCGACAAACGCATGTACGTGATCCTGATGCAGGAGTTTTCTTTGTTGCACCCTTACTGTGTAATCTTGTACTCTAACAGAGGCGATGGCCGCTCATCCTAACATCCGCAACTCAAATATCAACGAGATTGACATCAGTTATTTACCAGGAAGCCTGATTGTAGGTTTGAATTTTTCCCTACCGGGCCCCCCCCCCCCCCCCCCCCCCCGCTATATCTTAAGCCAGCCATGTTTTCGAGAGAGCGTTTTTGTGTAAGATGGCCTGGACACTGCGCATTAATCTAGGTCAGTCACGCTTAGTTGAAAGCATGAACCATCTAATAACATAAATCAATTAAAGCAGAAGTAAATTAAAATCACGAATCACTGAAATACACGATTCAAAATAAGCATGAATCATTTAATAACATGAACCAATTCTAAGCATGAATCAATTTAAAACATGAAGCAATTCTTAAAAAAAATAATGTTTCATTGTCATCATTAACCAAATATAATTTTATTTTTAAAATACATTTTTATTATAAACACCACTCATCATCATCATCATCATCATCATCATCATCATCATCATCATCATCATCATCATCAACGCCTAGTTTTAGTCCCGTCCACTCTTTGATGTTATCTTCCCATCGTTTTTATCTGTCTTCCTCTTCTTCTCCCTCCTCTCGTTTTGCTCTGCATGCTTTCTTTAGCGAGCCCTTGTTTCCTTGTTTCCTTGTTTCCTTGTCACGTGACTGTACCATTCTAGTTTGCGCCTTTTTTACAGTCACCAGTATGTCAGTCATTGTCAGTATACTGCCTAATGGCTTGACGAATCCTTACTTTCACTTGATCATTGGAGATGTGGTCTCTATAGCAGATGCCAAGAATGCTTCTGAAACATCTCATCTCCATCGCCTTTATTTTCCTTTCCAAATTCTGCTGTCAATGTCCTAGACTCCCAGGCATACAAGAAAATTGAGAGGACTAATGAGCGCATCAGTCTGATTTTGCTGGTGGGGGGCGGTGGACTATATATTTGTCCTTCCATATTTTCAAATAGGTCAAACACCACCAGTATGAAACAAATGAAATGTTATGGTTATTATACTTAAACAACAAAACATGTATCTTTCAAATGATAGGCAAGATCTATACTAAAAGACGACACGGTCCATACTACAAGTGATCACTTGAAGTTTAAGGGTATTATTTATAAGGGCATATGATATTGATATATAATTGTATTCCGTTTAAAATCATTGATATCATTGGTTTCTGTTTACAATTAGTGGAACTATGATGTCTTAATATGGAACAATTTCCGAAACCGCCCTGACAAAGTAATATTCAATGGGCTCAATAACGAGGCAAAGGACCTTACATGATAAGAGAACACCGCATTTTGAACAGGAATTAAACATTGTATTAAACCTATTACATCCTCTGTTGCAGGCTGAACCTAAGCTCTTAGAGCCCCGGGGGCAATTTATCGGCGGTGCGTCTCATCTGGTGCAGTGCACCGTCAACATCACCGTCAATCAAATCTTCAAAGCAGGTGTCTGCGTCTAGACTTTCCATACCTTATGGCCAAATGCGAACATTTGATTAAACACGTAGATCAAGCATTTTAAAGTAATATTATTTATACAAATGTGTCAAACTAAAATATATTTTTTAGTAAGATTAGAAAAAGACGCCTACTTGCAAAACCCATTGGACATAGGACAAGAAAAGAAAAATTAAATAGATATTTGTTCTTGAAACCATAGGAAATAATCCCATTTATAAACATTTTGAAAGGTTTTTTGTTTTTTTTTAAATCATACGATTGCATTTTTTTAAAAACTTTAATTAAATTAAAACTTTACAAATTTGATACAGAAACCTGCAAAGCAATAGAAGTAATCTTGCAAGTTTACAGATTGTTACAAACCCGATATTACCAGGTTCGATAGCTTCGTTTGTCTAGCTAGCAGTTTACCAATTACTGAACCAACCATTCAATTCACAGATGATACTTCTCTTTATTAACTGTACAAGTCTACGACTAAACTACCTTGTCAACACCATTCCTGATACTGCTGCCATTATTCAACTACAACACATTACACAATTAGTACATCATTTTCTTTTAAGCAAAATACGTCATAAAATACGGAGCATGTTATTGCAAGATCTAACCCAAATACTCCACGAACGTACCTCCAATCACAAAACGCATAACAGTGCTACACACTGATTTAACATTTAATTGATGCATCTGATTAATGTCATACAAGATGCGTGCTTCCCCCGGATGAGCCTTCTCCGACACGTTTGTCAGCTCCACTGTCATTCACGTTGAACAATTCGTCTTCTTCTGTATAATGAAAATGCAATGGTTAAAACGTGTTATTTTTTTCATGCATTCTATATATGCACTTCACGCAGTTTGCTTTTTTAATGTTGGTACCCTCCTAATCTGTCTAGGATAATACATGGGGGAAAAAAATACATGTTAATTACCAGGACATTTGGACTTTATGCGATCTTAAATAGACAAGAAGACACAAGCAAACACATGTTGACCTTGCAAGGCTTGTGACAACTAAAGCTTTGACATAACCCCCCTCCCCCCGTTTTACGAAATTTAAAAAAGAATGGCACCAACAAGTTCGAGGATATCATACAAAAAAACATAGCATTTCGATAAAGCGACATGATCTTCGAGCAAGGTAATAATGCAGTTTTTAAGGCAGTAACCTCTCACGGTCATTACAAAATAGATGATGTGTTCAAAAACATAATTATTTAAAGCAAATGCCGTATATAGAGGATTCCGCATTGAGTGTCTAGGAGCAAAGGTGCCTCAGTATCATCAGCCACCTAAATATTTATGGGCAATGGCAATTAATATTATCCTTTACGGAAATGAGGCATGGACAGTTTACAGCAGAACGCTAGACAACTGAACCGTCTCTAGCTAAGCTGTTGACGTAAACTTCTTTGCACAAGGTGACAGGACAAAGTCCCTCATACAAAAGCCCTACACCAGGCTGGTTTTATTAGGCGTCTTACTGTGTGATCTTGTTCGTGTGTTGTCAACCAGGTCCATTCCCCACGTGCAAGGTGGATACATCTTCATGATGATCCCATGTCTTCTGGAATTGCTCACAAGGCATTGGGTCGCACAATGGTTGTAGGATTGTGAATTTACGCTTATTATTTTTATTGCAGTATAACGAGCTGTTCAATAAAATTTCATTTTATCTTCTCTCCAAATTAGATATAGTTATCCCGAAACATATCATTTAATTTTAGAGATTGTCTTTATTGCGCTTTTCCAAAAATGTGAATATTTTTCCAATTAATTATTGTACACATTTCCTATTTCCTGCCTCTTTTATTAATTTTTTTTTTCGTTGTTTTTTTTTTTTTTTTGAGCTTTTATTTTTTCTTTTGTGTTCCGCCATCGTCTTGTTGCCAAACAAGCAGTAAAATGCATACATGCCGTACAGGAAGCTACAACTCACACGGTGGCAGATCAATGATAGGCTGACATAATCTGCGTCAAAACGTCCTTACAAAAACGACAAAGCGATATGGGCTGGACGTGTTGTGAGATTTGAGGACAGAACCCTGCTTAAACATATGATACATCCGGGGAATGTTCAGCTGATGGAGGTAGAAACATGAAGCCCTAAAAGATTGCCTAATAGCATACCTGAATGACTTGGAAATTACTTCTTTTGATCGCTCTCGCTTGCGAAAGCAACTCACTTTTAAGAAGTGCTCTTTACGTGATCCGCGCCACCCGTTGTTCCACCCGTTTTCACATTAGATTTTTCAGTTTTGCGTTGTCTACCAGATCAAGTCCCCACCTGCGAGGTAGACACACCCACACGTTGAAGCCATTGTCTTGTGGATTTGCTCACAAGACATTTGGTCGGCACACAAGTTGGAGGATTGTTAAGATATTGCATGTGATGGCGGTACAAGGAGATGTTCAATTTCATTTTATCCTCTCTCTAAATTAGGTACAATTGTCCCAAAACATATCATTTATTGTTGTGTTTGGTTTTTAGTGTATCTTTCCACAAATTTGACTATTTTTTCTAATTAATTTATGTCCCAATTTACCGTTTCCTTCCTTTGTGGAACATAACATTTTTACAGATTGAATAATTATAACTAAAACCAATAAAAATTATGTTAAAACGTAGTTTACTGAATCAATTTTTATTCATAAATGTTTAATTATATGTGGGTGGCATGTTTAATATGTTTACCTTTAGCCAGCCGCCATATCCCAATTTCTTCATTGACATCGTCATCTGTTTCATCGGCTCCTATAATTTCAACTATAATAATAGAACAATTAAAAGTGACAAATGTTTGATTATGATAACATTTTACAAATATATATATATATATATGTATATAGAAAGTAATTTTTTAAGATTCAGATTCTGCGCGAAACGTAACATGAAACTGCACACAAAACGATATTTCAAAATAAGCATATTATTTAATGTAATAACTTTTAACCCAATATATATATATATATATATATATATATATATATATATATAATCATCGGGAGTTTAATTAAACATTCTGAAAATGCTCCATGTCTGGTTACTTCTGTGATGAAACATAATGAGATGACAATGTAGCCAAATAGTAAAAACTAATCAAGCTTACTAAGCTCATTTCTTATATATTATGTGAAGTTAATCAACCCGCAACCACCACCCAACAGAAGCAAACAAGCTTTCTTTTCTCTATTAATACCATTAATATATAATAATATTCCGAAACTGGGCTAAAAGCTCGAGGGTTCCAAAAGGAACTTAAAACAAGCCTCCGTCGACGAGACTTCTGTCTGACCAATTTATTTTGGCTACAAACACCCAGAAACCAGCAATATAAATCAAATTAAATTAAACAGATTGCGTCAAGCAAAGAAATTGGCATAAATCAGGCAGATGGTTAAGGCGCACAAAAATGTAAACATGAATATGAATTACCCGTTACCAGATATTACATTTCACCCGCTGCTGCGGTTAAGCAATATTTACCTGGTGGAATGCGTTTTAAAAGTGTTAGGTCACCTCATACAGCCAATCGTTTTTAGCTCTTTTTTTAAAACTATTTAAAATACATTCCATAAAATCTCATTTACAATGCATTTACTCTGTGTTTGGTGTATAGTTTAACTCTTTCATTAATTTAGTTTATTTTAAGAAAATATGAATGTATACTTACGTTCATTTAAGAGTCTTTCATAGGTGCCATTTCCCCTTTCATTAATTGCATTAGATGGATTTGCTTCTGAATTATTTTCATGACCATTTGGTATCTCTTCAACTATTAAGTCATGTATGATCCAGCTTTCTCTGAAGTCTTTTAACTTTTCTTTCAATTTTTTTTGTAATCTGAAAATTATTTTTTCAAAGTCTTAGTTGCACGAACATATGACTAAATAATGAAGGAGGGGTGCTTTTAGAATTAATTAAATAACCATAAAACAGTTCCATATTATGGAATAGTGAAAGAAATACTGGAAAAAAAATTTAACGATACTCAATTAAGTACACATGTTTGTTACAGAAATTTTCCTCAAGTAATGTGGCGAACAAAAGGAACTTGGACAACTTTAGCTACCACGTGATTGCAGCACTATAGGTAAATATGTTTTTTAAAGGTATTGTAATATTTTCGTTTGAAATTTTCAACAAAAAAATATTATTTTTTTTTAAAGATACATATATGTCTGACATCAATTTTGTGAATTTGTTTGGAAAGAAACAAAACTGCCATAGAAAGGTGTCAATATATTTCATCTTTAATTTTATAGGAATTCTTTTCCAACCATTAGTAAAGTGCTATCATTATTTGCCCAAAGTATAGAAAGTGTTTACACACATTCCCCCCCCCCCCCCCCCCCCCCCCGGAAAATGTAAAATCTACATTTGTTGTTGTTAAATAATTTAAAGGACATTTTTCAAGCAAACGGTAAATTTTGTAGACAATGCGGCCTGTTGTAAATTTGCATTTTAAAACAAGCTTTGTTATAGATGTGATGAAACGGAATGAGATTAAAAAAAAAAACAACAACAACATGTAATCAAAGGTAAAAGCTAACCAAACTTTCAAGACAACAACACATTTTTCAGCGATTTCAAGAAAAACAATTACAGTTTTTTAGACTCGTCTGTACTCTCGATTCTATCTGCACCCTTCGCCAGGAAATTAATAATAATGATCGGCACGAGGGCCGCAGCAAATGCAGTAAACGAAAGGTTTGATGGCGATATGTAATTGATGTGGCCGTAAGCCATGACAACCAAATAGATAAATACTATGAAGAGGGTGATAAAGATGATTCTCTTCACTGCCTGTGGAAAAAATAAATTAATAATTTGCTGAGTGAAGAGAAAGAAGAACAACAAAAAAACGCAAAAATGCAATTATAGCAGTACTCGTGTAAAAACTACGCTGTATACATTTGATCATATTTTTCAAACAGTTTACTCCATAAAAAAACTTCCAGATGTATCAACTATTTTTAAACCCAGTAAATATGTTTCAACCATTGATAATAGTTTGGGTAATATGTGTTATTTAATAATGAAAAAAACATGAATTAAAATAACCCACATTCCCTAAACTCCTGACAAAATTATTTGTGCTACTGACTTTAGATGCATATTTCCGAAGTTATTCTGTTTAATAAGTGAATTTTTTTAAAAACTTTATTTAAATTTATTTCTCATTGCGTTTAATGTCGATCTCAATTTCAATAATAAAACATGCAAGATTAGTGAATGATTCTAAATTTAGTACTTCTTAAATGTGTTTGTCTTCTTGCCCGTGGCAATCTTATAAATTGCAATTGCATTTATTTCTTGTTGAGAATATATAAAACATAGATATTAAAAAAAAAAAACTAATAAAAGTTACTTTAGAAAAGTTGTGTAGAACAGTTCCTGGAGCTTCAGAATGGTCGACAGACGCACATTGGAACAAAAATCTCTGTGAGATTTTCTTTTCATAGACATCGATGAAAGGATGATTCAATTTTACCCATAGATCTGTGTCTGTCACTAGAAATAAGGGTTTTTCTAACTGACCAAGTACACTGCAATTACGTGTGGTTTCTGCAAGTGAATTAAAAAAAAACACGTTTTCTTCAAATAATAGTATTTACAGATGCCATATAATAAGCCTCATAGAACTATCTTATTTTTAAAAAAGAAATATGTATTTCCTTTTTTTTAAAAATATCTTCTAGTAAAGATAATTTAATTACTTTTTTTATGATAAACGTGGCGCTTAAACAAAATGGTGAATTTACTGATGTTTAACTCTCAGTTGAGCTATTAGTTTGACAATGAGTTTATCTACGGTTTTGACTATAAGGTTAACTATGAGTTTAAATATTCATTTATGAGATATTTATTGGATTCAATGGTATTTAATGAATATGTAATAAAAATGAGTCTTACTATCCAATATAATTTTTTTTTTAAATTGAACTCCCGAAACAATACATGCAGCTTACTATTTGTAGTCCAGCGCATGAACACTTAATTTATTTTATATCAATATTAGTTTTAATTGTTTTTTGTTTTTTTTTAAAGTTAAAATCACATACTTTGAGCCCGTCGGTCAATACATAAGTCCTTGATAAGCTGTGTTTTTAGAAGACTCCTCACGAAGTTGTCAAAAGGCTCGTGCACTTGTTTCACGGACTTGTAGACGTAGGCAGCCAGCAACAATGCAATTTTAATTAGATTGTAAACAAAGCCCCCTTCCATAACAGCAAGAAGGATAACGATAACCACGATGCCAACAAGAAAGAAGATAGCGCATGTTGTAAGCAAAATTACTGCCCATGAACTTACATAAATACTGAGGGCAAGAAAGAATTTGCTTGGTTTCTTCAATAATTTAAGATAGTTTTTAAAAAAAAGAAAAAGTGTCAGTGCAATGCTAAAAACATTTGGCAAATTTCGTTGGATCCACATGATAAATACCACACAAGGGTTATACCAATTTTTTGTAATTGCATATTGTGATTTGGGATGGAAATTTAAAATATATGTATAAAACTCCCTGTACTTGTTTTCGCATAAAAAAAACATGAGGACATGGTCCAAGTAAAGGAGGAAAAAAGGAACAACTATGCATATTGTTCCGGTGAGATCTGCATCAAAGCTTTCATCATACTGACTATCCGGTACTCTCTTTCTAAATTCTCTTTTTACTTCCAGACTCCTAGTGTCATCAGTAAATAAGGAAATTAAAATTGGGGCGCTTAAAACGGCAACATACATTTTAATAAACAAGTATTTCAAAATTGTTTGCCAACTAAGCCCCATTTTTGTAGTGCAGTTCTGCCTCTGGCTGCCGTTTCCATGATTGACTGAACTCTGGGGAGTTTGACTGCAAGAGCGTCTAACGTCATCACCAACGTGACTTTTTTCTCCCTGGATGCGTGAAGTTTGGGGGCGGAATAGAACAAACAATTAATTATGCTTCCATGTTAGCGAAATTTCCAAGCTATAAAATTGTAAAATTTATATAAGCATAAATATTTTTAAAACTTATTTTATTTTCTAAAATTACCTTCATAATTCTGAATTATCAAAATTTAGTTGTATACAAAAAATATGCTTACAGCGAAAAGCTTTTCTGTATACCCTTCCTTAGCAAAAAAAAAAACAACAACAAACAAACAGCGTCGAACAATAATTGTACGAGTTGCTGCTGACTTCCTAAATTTAACTTGTAAGGAAATATTTTTTAAAGAGTGCTTGTAAAAACCTATTCGTTGAAATAACAGTTTGAAACCTATTTGTTTGGTTGAAATGAATAACTTTTAACCTGGAATCCTGAGGTAACGAGAAGAAATAGCTAGAATTCCACAGTTTAAATAAAGAAAAGAAATAAAGAGCTTTTTTTTTTAAAACAAAAAATGATGTCTGGTAAAATGCACGAGGCAATTGTATTTCACGCCTGAAACTCGCAAAACTGCTTCCTTGTGACCAAACCATAGCCTCATGTCGTCACCTATGCGAGTGAATTGAGAATTTGATCCTCGGGTGTTAGCTATTGCTATAACTTCCACGGATGGACGTCAGAGTTTGTTGTGTGATAGCCATCCTGCTGGCTTTTCTTTTTAACAAATATATCGTTTCCCATACCTACTGTTTGAGAAAGTCCCAGATATGCTCCAACCAGCATCTGCGTCAACACAACATTTGGAATGTATCACTCTTGAAAATGTTGTGAAGACGTTTCCATTCAATGAGCCGTGTTATCTTGTGACAGTTGACCTATGGGCTAGTTCCGTTCCATGCATGTGGTCGAGCCAACGAGAGTAGATATCTCTGTGTACGTGTTGACACTTTAAAGTAACAACAAATTGGGAACTTTTTGAAAAGAATATATCTCAGGTTGTTCCTGCTCACTGGTTGTTTAAGGTTTAAGTAGATGATACTGGGACATTCACCATAAAAGATTTGAATATGTACAGTTTTTGAAAGTTCAGCTGGAGGTTTAACGTTTGACCACTCACTCGTTTAATCTCAAGGTTGATGGAAAATAATCCTCGCAGGTTCATTTTCTTCAAGTGATCTTAAGGCATACTCGTTGGGTGAGAGAAATGAATGGATGATAAAATTTGTAAAACAATACATTCTTGGAGAATGCTGCCGCTAAGCTTGAATGACGTTGAACTTAGTGTTGAAGTCTTTGAAGACATCTTGGAGAGACATGTAGATTAGATTGGCGAATAAAGCATGATATAGGTCGCAGTGCTGATCCTCTCCTGACTTGGAATTTTCTAGTTCTGGTAGGGCAACGGTTGAGGAAATTTTTAGCACAGTGTGGTGTGCATGTCCTCGTGGAATGACATGGTGGAAGTGAAAAGGCGTGGGCTCTCTACATTAGCCTGATACATCAACACCGGCAGACCAAGTCAAATGATTTTTTTTTCTTCAGAATTTTGAAAATGATGATCGGAGAAACACCAGGCCGACGACACTTCTAACATGTAGGCTTACTCGTCTTAAAATAGCAAACTAAAGCAGTTTATGCTATTAAATGATATGTGGTCTGGAAGTTAATTGAGGGGTGGGGTGAATAATTATCAACCCAGAAAATGATGCCTACAAAATTAATTAAATTTTTGTGTGTGTTAACATTGCGATTTTGTGACCCTGTCCAAGCAAGTCCTTTTAAGTTACTATTGAATTCAAGGCCGAAAAAGGCGTTATTTTTTATATTCTTCCGATTTAAAGAGGTTTAAAACTATATGAACTCTAAACCCTGTGGACATTTATCCTATGTTTTATAGTTAAAAATTTATTAAATTAAAATGAGTTTCCGGACTACAAAAAGGCCGAAATTTTTAATTTTTCAAAACCTTCATTTTGTTATGTAATAACAAATTAGGTTTAGTAACTTAAGCCGGATTTTTTTTTTAAACCAATGCAATAAAAATCTTTAAATGTTCTGTTCGGAAACCCAACGTACCTTGCAATGTGTGAAACATTCAGACATCATCTGACAAAGAATAGTGAAAAAACCGAGCTCATTCTTGTTACACCAAAATATTTTGCTTAAAGGAATCTCAACCAACAACTTCACCAGTCGACAACCGTTCGTGCCCATTGCTTGGATCTTTTTGAAATTATGCATTTTTTTCAAACAGGAAAAAGGAACTGTTAGTGTTTCGTCCTTTATTTTCATTGTGACGGAGCTGTAGCGAATACATAATAAACAGTTTCATAATACATACATACAAATTTAATTTAGTGGGTTCAAATGTATGTATAAGTATAATATGTATTGATTATCTTGCAATATATTTGCTTGTGTATTTAAAGCCTTATTCAAACATTTTAATTACTTTGAATTGTAGTGAGATTTCTTAATTTTAAAAAAAAAATTCTTCTGATTGTGTGTCTGGGTTGGTGGTTTTAAAATAAATTATGAAATCATTTTTAATCTAAAACAATTTCTAATTTCTTTAACATAACATCTCAATACTCACTCTGGTGACATGCTGATTATAGCATCCAACTCATTGGGTAGTGTGAATTCGTATAGCTCCAATCTGGCGAGAAAAAAAAATGCAGTAACAGTTAATAAAAGGTTCATTCTTTAAAAAACGTGTTTTTATGAAGTTATTTATAAATGAGTGGAAGTCACATCATTCAACCCTTTATTCGATAATTTAAATTGGAGAATTTAAGACTAACATAATTTTAAAATAAAAAAAAAACAATTACTTTTTATCACATTTCCAGTTGTGCTCACCAATCAAATAGGACTATGTCCTTTTCATCCTACCACTTTATTCGTTCCCCACTTTCATATTTACAAAACCCTTAATTCTTTAATAAGCAACTGACATCAGAAATATTAAACCTTCAAACCCGAATACCCTTCATTCGTGCCCCAAACTTTTCATGATATCATGCCCTACTCTCTAACTCAAAATCCTAGCACTCTGTAACTATAATGCCTTACCACCTTACACCCTTCACCGATACCTTTTAAGCTGTTTTTTGCGGCTAGCGAGCTTATCGAAACTACTTACAAAGCGGATTGTAGCCCTTGTTGCCTACTCATTGATGGGCGCGGGCGTACGCACACACACACATACGCACGCACACACACAGACAATCACAAGCTATACGTCTTAAAATAAACGTACACACAAAAATGTTAGTACTTATAAAATTTTAAAAAATTATGTAAACACACACATATAAATATATCTCTATATATTTATATGCATGATTTTTTATTAACTTCGTGTTCATTTAATTAGAATCCGACTGTCACCAAAAGCTTACAGTGAAATAAGTGACCGATCCACTGATAGATTGTGTTTGCAGAATCTGTAGTTAATTCCAACTAACATGATTTAATATATTCGAACGATAACGACCTTCATGTTGCTGAGTCAATGCTCGTACCGTAGACTGATTAGGACAAGTATGACTCGAAATATTTGCGCGTCTCAATATATCCAAAAAACAGTTTTAGCTTACTTAATTTGAGGCAAGTTATTTTGATAAAAGTAACACCTATTTTTAAAATTGAAAAGTGTGTTCCTCCCCCCCCCCCTTTACACACACACACATACAAATCCTCATTTCCAAATTCACAGTTCGATGCCTTAACTTTGGCCACCCTCTTGCGTTAACCTCTCTAAATTACTAATCCAAAAAACAGTTTTAGCTTACTTAATTTGAGGCAAGTTATTTTGATAAAAGTAACACCTATTTTTAAAATTGAAAAGTGTGTTCCCCCCCCCCCCCCCCTTTACACACACACACATACAAATCCTCATTTCCAAATTCACAGTTCGATGCCTTAACTTTGGCCACCCTCTTGCGTTAACCTCTCTAAATTACTGATACTTATACATAGAAACAAATTTGTATTACCTTTTCATTGGAAAGAATGAATAGTTTGTGAGAGTTGTCTCATGTATCAGTCTCATTGGATAACTCAAACATTTAAAATATTATTTTGTTAAGAGCCTAAAGTTGAATTTTTAATTTTACTGAAAGTGACTAGGAAAGAAAATAACCTGTAGTCATCAGGAAATACAACAGGCAGGGTCAAAAGTAAAAAAAATGTTATTATGATGATACAATAGTTGAGCCTCTCCACCATGACATCTTCTTCAACGTCAATGCAACTGTAGTCACCAAAGTGGTCCAGCAAACAGCATCTGCAGATAAAGGAAATAACTGATGATCAGCAAAAACATTGTATACCAAAGAAATGGACAATTAACGAATCCATTAAAAAATTACAATTTAAATCTTCTACTTGAGCTATTTGGGTGAATTACCAGTGCTCAAATGCACGTTCTGTAGCTAGACAAAGTGTGTACAGTAAGTTATCACACCATTTTTTTAAAATCAAACTTTACGTCAAATGTTTTCTAAATTTCTATAGTGTATCATTGTTTATAATTAGAAAACATGATGATTCCGAATGTCAAATATTCTTATTTCTTGCCGTGTCACCTTCACCTGCAGCGGAAATCATCACCAATATCTTTTCCGCGCCTTTTCGGGCTCTACCTGTCCTCTCTAACACTTTCTAACTCATTTCAATTCTTTTTTCTTTCTTTTACGCCCTCTTCCACCTCTCTTGGCTAGTTTTTTTTTTCCAAACTTCCCCGTCCTCATTATCTTTTTTGTGTCAAAGCTAAAGTGAATTCAATCGAACTGTTATTTGTGTGCCTAAATTTATAAAATAAATGAAGAGAATATAATTCCATTCATCCAAATGCTTGTTTATAATTCGAGTAGTGCCTATTTAATTTATTTTGTCTAAGGCCTAAGGCCTACATTGTCGTCTACATTGGTTGGCCACCAATTTTAAAATAAAATTATATCCCGTATTACTCTTTTCACGTTTACTGGTACCGATAGCATCATAATGCCTCTGCTCATACAATCTCTTAGATCACCTTTCTTTTTTAAAGTTTTAAAGATGACACTCTCCACTCTCCACTTTTCCAATTTTTAATATATATATATATATATATATTTCAATACTGTTGTACAGCCGAGCAAAACTTTGATGCGAATTTCTTTTAGCCTAACTTGGTACCAACCAAAAATAATTTGTTTATGCTACAATATGTCTTTCTAATTACATTTTTTTTTAAAATAATAAAATCTGAAATACAATATACAGTACCGGTATATAAGCCTCGGGTAGGTTTTGTCTACATCAAAGTGCGCCGTGCACATGTATAGGTCTTTCACACGTCGGTCACCAACATTTAATTCTGAAATAGAAGTCAATTATTTTCTTCTCATACCATACCTTTACATCAGGCAAGCATAGGTTTAGCAGGTTTTATTTTTAAACTTTAGAAAAAAAGCGTTAAGCATCTAGAAATTAAAAGCAAAAAGTCTCCATAGTCTCATTTTGGGGATCAGTAGAGTTAAGCTAAATTTAAATGATACTTTTTAAAAGATAAATGAAAAACAATTTCGAGCCATTTAGCACACACACAAATAGTATGTCTACAGATATTAGTTTTTTTTTAAATTTGATTTTAAGAATTATATTTAATGTACTATTAGAAGACTATAAATTGAGCGACACAATTAAAAAAAAAAAATTGGGGTTTTTATCATTCCATTTATACAGCTCTCCATTCTAAGAGCGTACATTTTAAAAATGATTTCATAATTTATTTTAAAACCACCAACCCAGACACACAAATGCATCGTATATACCCGGCGTTTCTCTGCATCGCTTTAGAAAAAAAAATACCCCAAAACCTATTACCTAATATCGAAATTGTGGGTCCTGTAAAAAAAGAATATCGCTAAGAAAATGTAATAATCAAATTTTTAAATTTTCTCCTCTAAAAACACATTTATAAAATTCGATCCCAAAGGGATCCAATTTTCTGCTTTGAATCCGAAATCATTTAGGATCCTTCCCCCCTTTTTTGAAAACAAATTAACCACAAAAATATAAATATATATCAACAGCCCAGAGTTTAATCGGACCTGGTTGTAAACGGGGACCTAAAGAAGTAAGGTCAAGCCCCATTCATTTTAATTCACTAAAAAGACAATAGCTTGGAATTAGTTCATATTTATTGCGTTTTGAAAGTTGTAATATCGCTTTTTTATCCATAGTCTTTTTTTTAAAGAATACATGATGTGATACTCACTCAAACATTGCCCTTAGATTTACAGATACATACATAATATTTATATGTTGTTGTTTGTCCGTCGGAGTCGACTAGGACCATCGGGTTTAATCTAATATATATATATTGGTTTTTAACAAAATAGATTTAGAGATGATGCTTTACTTTAAATAACAAGGATCTTCAAGTGCTTCCAAATGCGAAACTTTAGGAATAGAAATTATTTTGAACCAAAAGATTAAATGCAGAAAAGAATTTGATGGTTTCTTGAGTTCAATCATGCAAAAAAAAAAAAAAAAAAAAAAAAAAAAAAAAAAAAAAAAAAAACTCAAAAGTTTTGGTTGAACTCATAAATAATCATCCAAAGACACAGTTTATGACCTTTTAACATAAATTTCCTCAAGAAGTCTTCCAAAGATTTATTTTCAAATTTTTCCAAACAATCAGGCGGGTTGACGTTCAAATTAAGGACCTCTTTCGCGATGCAAAAAGATAGAATGTATTCCATAAGTCCGAACATGAAATCGTAGGTCAGCAAAAGTCGGGGACTTCCAATACCCTGAGTACTGTACCACCTGCAGCATAAACAATGGTATGGTAAATTCTGTAAAAATTGATATTAACGACTGCTTAAACATATTTTTATTGGAAAATTCTTAATTTTTGTAGCAGATGTCGCTGCCATGTTGTAAAGCTGGACTGCTCGAGCCTGATAAACCTGTCAGGATTTAAAATGCTGTCAAGCTTCAATTGTGATGACTGTTTGACATGTAATTTATTCAAATTTTATTTAAGATACAAGGTATTCAAATTAAACGTGACAATAATCTGATTAATCAGAATGAGTACCGATGTTATCCTACAAAAAGACTTACACGTAAGGCTGAAAAGCATCAGCATTCCACATCCGTGACTCGTTGAAATTGACGCTGGCGTTCTCAAACCTGAGAGTGTGCTCTACAATAATGGTTTGGCCATCTGGATCATAATAATTAAGGAGTCTTTTAAAAAGTGTCTTGTTGTTGTGGATGGTGAGCTCGCATTGGGGCGTGTCACTGTTGCCTTGTGCGACGGACATCCAGCAAATACAAAATAACATAAAAACGCTCAAACTACACGTCGATGGTCTCATTCTGCACGAGTAGGTCTACTTTCCACGGTACAGTCATCAATCATCCAGTTAAAGTCTGGGTTTGATTTTTCTGGATTTTTTTTTGTCTGAAAAAAATGTGAGGTTGTTTGATATTAATTAATTGTGAATCCTTTAATTAAGATATTTTTTTTTAAAAGTAATTGTTACAAACAGAGACATACATACATTTTCACCATTATATATTAAATTATATTATAACAGAAACGTACTTGGATACAAGTTTAAAAATCTAAAGAAAGTGCGATTTTTATATATAAGACATACGACTTATTAGAATTCATCATTTACATATAACTTTTGTGTGTGTTTAATTCGTGCTGAGTCGCCGAGTACCAGATGCAATCTAAAAAAAAAAAAGATTGATCATTCCCCAGCAAAAGCCAAGACGTTAAAAAAAATACGACACCAGAGCACAACGAGAAAAAAAAAAAAAAAAAAAAAAAAATTAATCAACCCCCACAAAAAACCAAAAACTAAAAAAAAAAACGAAACCAAAGCACAAAAAAAAAAAAAAAAAAAAAAAAAAAAAAAACAGCCGGCCATCTACTGCCTCCTGGTCTCTTTCCATTCGTCGTGACTTAGTCTTGCTATGAGAGCAAGTGGACAAGGAAGCCATAGTGAGGCTGACGCATTCGGCACCGCTCCCTCCTCACTTTAAACAAAATACAGCTCAGGTCAAGGCTACACCTTAAGTCGAAGCCTTGCTCAGCTTAGCACGCAAAGGGTGAATACTATAAAACTTTTCATTGATCCTTTTTTTTTTTCTTTTTTTTAGTTTCTTGCCCCACTTTTCCCTGTCAAACTTAAGTTTTATTATCTTATGTCAGAAATGCAATTCTTTTTGCGATTTCTTTATTACAGCCTTTGCAATAAAGGGATGCGACCAAACTTTACCGGAACTACGTACGGGGCAGTAGAAAGGACAATGACAAATCTGATTGCGATCCCATTCTTTATTTTTTTTTTTTTAAATCTTGCTATAAATAGCACTAACCAACATTCATGCAAACAAGAACACAGTCACTCTTAGCTTTCGATAGTGTATGCATGGAAATTATATAATATGTACATCCATCTATATATATAATTCGCCAGCAAAGGTCAAACACCAACACGGTTCAAACACCACGCAGGCTATTTATAGATACGCCAGAGTGTGGTTCAATAATGAGTTCACTAGCACGCAAAATATAACTCCCGATAACTACTCTCTATATGAAATGTTTTTTTTTTTAAATAACGCAACTGCATTTGGTGCGTAATATTTTCTTTTCGAAAATGAAATCGTCTCAATTTCCATATTGGTAAAAATTATTCGGTTTATAAGTGGTTGGGAAATGAGAATATGTATATAGTTTGGACAATTGTGTTTTTAACGAAGCATTCACTCGTCTAGGAGCAATTCTGCTACGTATGCTACGCCGCGGGTCGTCTAGTAATATATATTGCATAGGTGAATACAAAGTTGTGTCAGTTAAAATTTTATTTTGTAATTTAACCATATAGCATTTAAACGTTTTTTAAAATATTTTTTAAATGCTTTGAATTAATTTGAACCCGGTATGTGGGCTTATCAAGAATGTTTTCTTTAGGACAAATTGTAGTGTGCATTTGTTAAGATTCTGATTCTGATAAGGTACGTCGCTGCCTCCATGATCTGGCATATGAAATTTTATGAAATTTATTGCGGCTGCCCTTAAAAATATTAGTTGTCTACGTGAACTACCTGTATGCTCAAGTAATCTTTAGATGCATTCGTTGTGATCAACAGATTTAATTAGGTAAATGCTCTTTAAAAAGAAATACGCACTTAAAAAAGAATGACCTTTACTTTATCATTACATACCATTTAACACTTCAGTTCCATCATTTTTTTTTAAAATTGTTTTTAAACATTGTATAAAAATGGTGGAGTAGCGTTAGTAAAATTATTAGAAAGTTAGTAAAAAGAATTTTAAAATTTATTTCCACTTAGAAATTGTTTTTACATTTATATGGATTAACCACTTGCGCAAGAATCAATGCATGGGTATTTTTAATGACTTATCATTTACACAGACCGTATTAGAACATAGTTTAAGTGAACAAGAATATATATATATTTTTTTTTAAAATCTGTTTTATGATTATTAATATTTTAAGCCAAAAATGTTGCATTCTATCGTTGAAGGCGCATTAACCGTGTTTCCAACACTCTGTTTTCTCTAGTCGAGACTCTTCGAGGATTTCTGGCAACGTAACTCTCTCACCATATGCACTAAAAAGCCAGGAAACTGAAGGCTACAAAACCAACATCTTCTGAAATTGTTGTGACTGTTCCTTAATAACTGCACTGCAACTAGGCCCACTTTTGAGGCAAAAATGTTAAAAAGGAATGCAACAGTCAGTCATGCAATAGGATCTAAGTAAAAGTTGCACACACACTCACATACAATAGTTAGCTATGATTGCGTTAGTGATATTGAAAGGTCTCCAATTCAGTAACCATTCAATTTTCAATTCTCAACTTGCAATTCTTCGATCAATGATTCTGTCCTTGAATGATGAATGTTGCATGAGGCGCCAGCCAAGGAACGCTATATATTAATGTCAATGGGTTACATGGGGCCCTAGCTGAAACATCAGCTATCGTGTTGGACAATTTCTTATGAAATTCGCCATTAAAGAATTTTTCTACACAACCTACATTTTTTTTACTGTAAAATAATTTTAAACGATACCACAAAGCATAATCATACTTTTTTTTTTTAAAGTGTTATTTCTATTTTTTGTTTGTTTTGTAAATCATTATTTATGTTACTGCTAGTCTACATGTTACTTTTCATGTTTTGTTTTTTAAATTTCTTTGTAGCATGGGATAATCAAGACCAGGCTGCTCATCGTACAGCCCGCGGTCCGCATGCGGCCCGCCATCAATTTATTTGTGGCCCGCGAAGTAACGAAATATTCTTTATTAATGTTATTTTCTTAACTGCTTTCCCCCTTTCCTTTCGGCCCGCAAGTTTTTTTTACAGACTGCCTTACATTTTGAGTTGTTAAAGCCTGATCAGGGACCTGCAAGATTGCCTTTTTTTTTGTTATATGCATACGTTATGGGCTTATAATATCTCCTTTTTAGATAGACCCTTGAAGCTTGTAAAAAATAATGATATTACAGCTATGTCACGCTCTCACGTATAGGTTTTACAGCCTGCTACAGGACAAAATATGAACAAACAAGAAAAAAGATATTAAAGATGTTATAGAACTTAACTGTTCGTCGTATTCATCCGACCATGTCTTATTTCATCTATTGGGGAAAATTGTTAAATTTTTTTTTTTAATATATAAAATAATACAATTTGTTAGCATCAAAACTGTGTAATATCATAACCCAAGGTAACTCACCACAAATATCTGAATATCTCTTCGCGGTATAGAAGCTACGTTTATCCCTGCCCAGCTGTGATGACTGATGTGACTTCATGTGGGTGTGCGTGGAAGGGTGGGGGGGGGAGGAGGAAGGGAGAGAATGGGCGTTGTCTTGAGGCTAGTTTTGAATCTGCATGAACTTTAAAAAAATATAAAAAAATACTATGTTAAGCTCATTGGTCGGGTTAGGCTTTCGGGTCGGTGTTCACTAGAACTGGCAGATGTCGTACAATAATAAAAAATTAAATTAAATAATAATGGCAACAACCATATCAAATAATAATGGAAAATAAATTCAGCTAAACCACTCAAGCTACATCCTCTCTCTCTCTCTCATATGCGTGGTTCGGATGATCGATGGTTGCCCCCAATGGTGCACCCACCTCACGGTGCTGCACACTTGCACAGTTATTGTGTGCCCCTTGACACGACATCATGTCACCTGCCAGCTGTGTGTTACAACGTAAACGCAACGTGCTCACGTTTGGTAAATTATACCAAAATTTTTTGTTTAAAAATGCAACCTTGATCTGATGAAACTGTATGCAAAACTGTAAATTCATTTTACAGAAGATTAATTAAGATTTAACCCCAAAAATCCTCTTAAGTGTTAAATTGTTAGCATGTCTTTTTTTCTTTTTTTTTTAATAATACACGAGGTAGATCACATTTAAACTATACATTGATCTAGTCCTTGAAAACCATGATTTAACCCAAACACGGTTTCACATATAATATGTCATTCATAAATAGTACATTTAGAATTGCATTTTTTGTCATTTAAACACTTGTATTTTTATAAGAAAGTTTATGTGTATCATTGCCAAAGTAATGTTTAAAAAAAACCAACGATTTCAGGGTTGGGGGGGGGGGGGTATTTTTTAAAGCCATATTCTTTTTCTTAAAAGTTTTTTTGTTTAAAAAAAACCAACGATTTCAGGGTTGGGGGGGGGGGTATTTTATAAAGACATATTCTTTTTCTTCAAAGTTTTTTTGTATCATTTGCTCCAAGTTTATGATATTTAACATTTTAGAAGTTACGTTATGTAATTATAAAATATCGATCGTTCCTGAATAACCATAACATCATTAATAAACTGAATCACTAGAACAGAAAAAAATGTGTTACCTCTATTCCGTCATATGTTGCCACTTCATCCTTGCCCGGCAGCTAGCATTCAACGTAAACGTGACTCACCAGCTCGGTATCATTGCATAAATAGGTCATCACTTTCCGAGAAGAACGAACGTTTTCTAGGAAATTGTATGCTCTCTCTCTCTCTTTCTTTGTCTCTCTCTCTCTCACCCTCCCTCTCTCTCTCTCTCTCTTTTATTGTGGACAACAATACATGTTTATTCAACTTTTAAAATAGCACTAACCTAAGCAATGGACAACTAACAAGTCCATGATATACTGCTGCTTGCTTTTGGACAATGTTAAGAACAGGTCCATTAGATGAAACAATGAAAGGCCCTTGAAACACGATTTTTGCCTATGCCCTGGGAACTGACTTTTTTTTTTTTTTTTTTTTTTTTCAAAATCAGGAAAATTCAACCATCTGCAAAAGTCATTTTTATTACTCTATTTAAAAGTAGTTCAACAAAAGTTCAAAAATGGACAAGGGGAAAAAATCGATTTGAAGTTGGAACTGAATTCAAATTTTTTTTTTTTTTTTTTTTTTTTTTTTTTCAAAATCAGGAAAATTCAACCATCTGCAAAAGTCATTTTTATTACTCTAGTTAAAAGTAGTTCAACTAAAGTTCACAAATGGACAAGGGGAAAACATCGCTGTGAAGTTGGAACTGAATTCAACATCTAAATCGAATGAACAACATAAAATAAATAAAAGAAGTTTTAATTTTTTTTTAAAATAATAATGATAGGTTTAAAAAAGTGTTGTTTATTTCAGGTAAGACATTTATTTTAAAATGATGTCAATCAATTTAAAAAATACGTATAAAATTAGTCTGGTTTGGGCTTCCGAGTCTGAGGATTTGAACAATTTAATTTGATTAACCCGCAGCGTTTATTACGTGTGGGTCTCGTTACGAGTTTGAAATTTAAAAAAAACAACAACAAAAAGTCACATTAAGTCGTATGCTTTGGGTTACATTCAGAAAAGCTGTGACAGCGGCAGTTGAAAAGATAGTATTGATTTTCTCAGGCGTGTTCCCGTGACAAAGAGAAACGTTAAAATTATGTATGTGACAGCTTGCACCGAGAAGTTTTAACTTGCCAGGGAATTCCCGATTGCAAAATTTTCAGAAAAACACACTTCATTTTTTTTTTTTTTTTTTTTTCATTTAAATTCCAAAAAGTAAAAATTTTTTAGTTTTGCAAAATTTTCAGAAAAACACACTTCATTTTTTTTTTTTTTTTTTACATTTAAATTTCAGAAAGTCAAAGTTTTTTGGGTCTGGGGTGGCCAAGTCGTCTTAACTGAGCGAATGTCAAGTTAAATCCCCACCAAGGAAAAACATAACCAGCACCCTTAGTAGATGGGACTCGTTAACCTTAAATGGCAAACCTTCAAAGAAAATGAAACTCTGAATTCAAATCGTGGAGATGGAGGCACAATGAAACATTCCGACAACTCCTGCGACGTCCTTGGTGCTAAGCTGTATCACCCACATGATGTTCCCTCGGGTTGTCCAGCAGCGTGGACAAAAGCGCTTTGCTACGTATGAAACCAGCTTATAATCCTACAAAGAATAATCCAAGGCCTTGTGGAGTTCGTCCTGCGAAGTCTACACCAACGTCCCATTGTGACAGACGGATGACAGGAAAGTTTGTTATATAAGGTTGCTTTAAGCAATGACGTTGTTTTTCTCCATATTATATCCAGGCACGTCATTTGGGTAGCACTATGTGGGTTATACGCCCCCCCCCCTTTCGTCATACCTGTATTCATCAAGGTATATAAATATGTATTTGTAATATATTGTATGTCTTAGGTAAAATAAAACTGCTTCGTAAGATTATAACTTTTCATACCTGTATCTTTTTAGCATACTATGTATCTAATATATACATGGAAAAAATGTCTGATAACACAGCAGACATTTCTACATAGATTAATTCATCTTGATAAGACTTTGGATAAACAGTTTTTTTTTTCAATTTATTATCCAGAAGAAAATGTAAATGGGGTTTCAATTATTTTTTTAAATACATCCCATTTATCGTCGGAAGCCTACATTTCTTTTTTTAAATGCGCTATACAAAATTACAATTAACGGATAGATATAGACCAAAGCAAGTATCGCAAAATACCCTCCATTATTATCCCAGTAATAACGGGTAATATCTTCTAGTAATCAATGGAAGTATCTACAGTCTGGACTCAAGACTCATTCTTGCTTTATATTTAAGTGGAGGTGGAAAATCCATTTAACATTAGAGCAATGTTCCCTTTAGGCTGCGCGGCTGTGCGCCGCGTAGATTTCTCATAGACGCCGCGCAGCAGTTTTGAGTATCTGCGCAGCAAATTTCCATGTAAATGTGTGTTTGTATTTGTGGGCTGTTAAATTTTGCACACAAAAAAAAGGATGCTCTAAAACTTTGCACACAACTATATGATTTTGCACAGGAACCAGCAAACCTTAGAGGGAACATTGCATTAGAGGTTGAAGACAAATTATTTCTATACAAAATCGTGGATTCCTGATGATACCATCCTTTCTTTGCGATACTAGATTAGTCGTAGCGTGTTTCTCTCCGTAATATTTAGTGTTACTTTTAAATAGTAGAGTGGTATAAATAAAATAACAAATAAAGGAAAAAGCCGCAGGCTATATACATTTAAAATTAAACCTTTTTTTTGGTAGGAAAATCATATGAAAAATAACATTTGATGAACACTAGATGAAAGGTTCTTTTACGATACGCGCATGAATGATTTCCTATAAGATACAACACACTTGCTTTTTTTTTCGCGAAAGATACTAAAGGTTTAAAAAAAATTTGTACGCAATAGGTCAATGTTGTAAGTTAAGTTAGAAATTTTTAAAGTTTTCAAGGAAAAACTTTTCATAGGTAAAAGTATCCATGAAGGAAACAACAGGTAAAAGTGTGACAACACTACACAACAGCTTACAATGTTTTTATTTTTTTTTACATTGATCACACTGCTAATGAAAGCTCCGAGATAAAACAAGCGATTAATTAAGGCAATTTTGATTTATTTGATGAAAGTGTCTATTAAAAACAAATCACATAAAATACCTACGATACTCTAATTGATTCAAAAAATAGCGATATGTTTTTATTACTACTTACTTATTCATTTTGTGCATAAAACACTTTGATAAACATAAACGAATTCAAAAGCACACTCAAATAAATACAGCTGAAGCAATGGTAATGGTATTATTTTGGGGATGTAGATTATAACTTTTCACGTATTCACAATACTTGCAATCTAAAAATTTTCAAGTACACTTTCCACAGTTAATATTATGTTAATAGACATTATTGGAAAATACATTGATTAAATACACAATAAGGATTTAACAAAGTTTGTATATAAATAGTAACTTTTAAAAGTATCCATATTTTATTTTTCATTGTGATCATACAATAAATTTCAAATTAAAAGGTCACATCTACACATGTCATCTTATCTTGGTATAAGATAGTCAAACACTTAATTAACTCATTTATTCATTGAATTGATTTATTTTTGTTAGATTTCATCTGTTAAATAAAATATTTATTTTTTTTTTAAATTGTTGCAACAATCTTGACAGTTGAATTTATTACTTTTTTTTTTTACTTGTTAGGGCAGTGAACAACTGAAAATAAATCATGGTTGAAAAGTAAAGCATGGAATTTTTTCTCTCCCTATTCAGTACATGAGTCACATACACTTAAAGTTGAATAGAAATGATTTGTTGATCTTAAAAAAGGAATACACGAAGATGTGTTAGGAAACTAAATTAAATTTATTCCCTCGTTTATTTACTTTGCTATTTTTGTTGCAAGGGGGGGGGGGATGGGAATGTAGTTACTAACTGTAAGTAACTTTAGCACTTTTTTACAAATTGATGGTATTACTTCGTAAGTATTTTTCTTA